TATATATATATATGTTGTTTGTCAAATCAATCAATTTACGAAATAATTATAGCGACTTGTTTAAATATGAAAGAGGACAGGATTACGTGCTTATACCATATACGATCGCGTGTGCGTGTGCGTGTGCGTATGCGTACGTGTGTATGGAAGTGTTATATAGGCGAGAAACGCGAGATCGGAAGGTGCGGAGAGAGAGAGAGAGAGAGAGAGAGAGAGAGAGAGAGAGAGAGAGAAGGTACGAGTCGATGTGTGCCAAGGCGACTCTGTACTGAAGCCTTCGTCGATTCTTCATCGGAACAAGAGGAGGAAGAAGAAAAATAAAAAAGAAAAAAATATAATTGAAGAAAGAATATATACATATATTCTGTTTTTATTTCTTGGAAATAATTCCTACTGCGATTTGTGAATGTTCAAGGCAAGGATAACTATTTTTTTTTTCTTTCTTTCTATCTCACACACATTTCCAAGTGAAAAATTCGTGTTGGCCTAGTGTCGAAGCTCAACCGACTCGACTCAACTCGACTCGACTCGACGCGTGCGGCCGAGCGTAAAATCGGATAACGTTAGAGACCTTTTCGAGGGGAAATAATGCACGGCTTTTGACGGACGGATCAAGGAACGATATGTAGCAGGATTTACGAGAGCTTGCTGAAAAGAGAAACAGAGTAAGAGAGAAAGAGAGAAGGAGGACAGCTCGAAGAACAGCTCGAAGAACAAAAATTCCTCATTTTTTCAATCAATGGCGTGAGAAAATCCCACAGTAGAGAGTATTTCTAATCAAATCATTTCGAGGAACGAAGTGACTATCGTCCAACGGTAGACGGTAGTTGTGTAGTAGCAGCAGTAGTAGTAGTAGTAGTAATAGTAATAGTAGTAATAGTAGTAGTAGTAGTAGTAGTAGTAGTAGTAGTAGTAGTAGCAGTTGTTGAGTAGAAGTAGAAGTAGTAGTAGCAGCAGCAACGGTAGTAGCAGCAGCGGTAACTCGCGAGAGATAAATGAAAAGCCGAGCGTACGGCTGTTTTCATTTTACATCGTTCGTGTTTTCCCATGAACTAATGAAACTAGTCGGCTAAAGGAGAAATATAACGTATATTTAGTGTTGTCGCACAAGTTTTGGTAGGTGTTAAGAAGTAAGGAGTCGGTAGAAGACTGACGTAGTAGTAGTAGTAGTAGTAACCGGGTTGGCTGTTTTACCTTTGGTTCGGAATTGGAGGTCTTCATCTTTTTGGCCGGAGGCGGACTAGCAGCGGTGTCGATGGCCTCCTCGGCCGGTGTGGTAAGGGGTGGTCCCGGAACGGAGGCCACCTTAGTTTGTTCCGGCTTAGCCGGGGCCCCCGCTGCGGTGGCACTGGCCGGACTCGGGGGAGGACAGGGCGCCGCGGCGCTAGTCGCCGGTGGAGAAACGGAAAATCCCGTTCTCGAGCTAGGTGGTGGTCCCTGAGTCTGTTGGGGCGCCGTTGCAGCCGGCGTAGGTCCTTGTGATTGGGTTGCTTGTCCCGCCGAGTTTTGACTCTGAGGTGCTGGCGGTCTGCTGGCCGTTCCGTTCATCTCTGGTTTCGATTGTTGCGGGGTATGATTGTTCTGAGGTTGTTGTTTGTCGTGCTTCTCGCGAGCTTTCTCACGACGATGTCCACTCGATCCGCGCTTAGAACCCGCCGTCGAGGATTGCGCGTTACCCGTGCCGGTCGCCGAACCCGGCGAGTGGCTTGGTTTAGATTTGTTCGAGGAAGACGATTGTCCGGTAGCACCTGTTTGCCCGCCGGCCGTGGTATTGCTACCACCGCCGGCGCCGCCAGCGCTCCCGGCACCACCGGCACCACTACCAGCACCACTACCACCACTACCAGCACCACTTCCACCACCGGCACCACCACCACCACCACCACCAGCACTACCACCACCCGCACCACCGCTTCCGCACTCCGAATTTTGAGAGTTTTGTCCGACCGAAACCGAGGATGAACCAGATGAACCACCAGCACCCCCCGTTGCCGCCGAGGACCCCGAAGAAGAACTCGACGTTTGGGAGGATCCGTTGTTGTTGTTGCTGCTACTGCTGCTGCTATCCTGTGAAGAGGCGGTCCCGTTGATCTCGTTCGATTTGACGATCTCGTGTTTGGCCTCGCTGCTCTTCGTGCCGGGCTTGGTACGCTTGATCTTCATTTTGAGGCCCTTGTCGACGGTCGCCGAATGTTCAACGGCCATCTTGCCGGGATTTCCGCCGGCGCTACCGTGTAACACGGCGTTTACCGCGCCCACTACAGTCGCGGCGGAGCCTTGCTTTCCTCCCGTAACTAGCTGCTGCTGCACCTGCGAAGATGTTGAACCGTTGCTCGTCTGATTGTTATTAGTAGTACCGTTGTTACCGCCGATGACAATCGGTCCGTTCGCCGTAGGTCCGTTGCCACCTGTGCCTACTACTAAGCTACAGGGGCTTTGGGCTCGGCCGTTTCCCGAATTACCGACGACGACGACGCAACCACCACCGGCACCACCAGATGAGGAAGAGTTCGAAGAGGAGGAGGAGGACGACGACGACGACGATGACGAGGACGAGCCTGAGGAGGTCGACGAGGACGATGACACGCTAGACGAGTTAGACGAATTCGAATTGGACGATAACGAAGAAGATTGATTAACCGCGTTCGATACTACAACGCTGGACGATACGACAGACCCGGATACAGAGCTGGACGAGTTAGACGAGTTCAAAGCTGACGCTGAGTTTTGAAGATGATGATGATTCGGATTATTTGTTGCCGATGCTGCCGAGGCAGGCGTAGAAGCCATGCCTGTCCCCGCCGAGGAGCTCAGTTTCTCGTCCCTCGTCTTCTCAATGTCCGCATCAAGATCGATTATAAGATCTCCTATGCCAATGTCCCATTCGTTGTCGTCGTATTCAAAGTTGTTGGTCGCATTAGTCGCGGCCGAATCCAGTTCACCGGCGTTAGCAGCCACCGTGCTTGTTTTAGCTTCGCGCTGCTGGCACGCACCACCACTGCTAGACGACGATGACAACGAGGATTGGGGAGAGGAAGCGGAGATGGAAGATGAGCAGATAGAAGAAGACGAGGAGGAGGACAAAGAGGAGGATGAACCGGATAAAGAAGAGATAGAGGAGATAGAGGATGCAGCTGCTACTGCAGCTCCTGACTTGTCTCGACCTTGATGATGATGATGATGATGATGGTGATGATGATGATGATGATGGTGGTGATGCCGATGATGATCCCTCCCAACTGTGTTACGATCTTGCCTTTTCTGACTACCACCGTTATTACTTCCTATGACGACGTTATTGTTATTGTTGATGTTGTTGTTGTTGTTGTTGTTGCCGCCACCGCTACTACTACTACTACTACTACCACCGCTGTTGCTGCCACTGCTACTGCTGCTGCTGCTGCTGCTAAGACTGCCGTTTATGTTGCCACCGTTGTCGCCGTGGTTGGTGCTGTTGTTGTTGTTGTTGTTGACGATATTGCCGTTACTAATAGCACCACCACCACCGATACACGGGGATGGTCCTTTGCGGTTAATGTTAGGGAGGCGACCGCCTAGTGGCGTGGTCGCCATGCCCTTGGAAACGTTTCCCCGGCACCCGCCAGCCTGATCACCGACTGCCCACCTTTTCTCACGGATCCCGAATAATGGCAGCGCGAGCGACACGCGTTCTTTTTACCCCGACCACCGCCCGCGAGACGCGCCTCGTCCATCGAACACATCACTTACCCCGCGGCTACTCCTTTTGGTGTTCTCGATATCCAAATAAAAAACCCGCGCGCGCACTTCTCTCTTACTCTCTTTATTTACTTTTTTTTTTTTACTTTCTATATCCTCCCTTCTCTCTACACATTAACAACTCTTTTCTTTTTTTTTTACTTTTTAAATTGCGCGCGCGCGCGCGCAAAAACACCTTTTTTATGCACCTCCTTCTCTTCTTACTCTCCCTCTTGTGATTCCGTTGATATTTATTTGAATTTATATACTACATATATCCTGGATATTCCCAAACCTTTTTAGATCCAACGAATAGACTCCTTTGCACCATCGACACATAAAGCACTGAAGATTGTGCCCCCTCGGGGCCACGAACACAGGGTCACTACCGATCACGACACATCACCGACACAAACACGACCAATCTTATTTCGAATTCCTACTCTCTGCGATGTTATCCGTTGACTCCAAAGATCTCTGGGAAACTCGCCAAGATCTCTTGGGGTTCCGGCCTTTACTTCTTTCTTTCTTCCTTCCTTCCTTCCTTCCTTCCTGGATTCACAGCCGATTCATTTTTTTGTAGTCCGGTCACGCGACGTCTTTACGATCTTTCTTTCATGCCAAGTTAAACTAAGTTTCGTAGTGCGTTGGATCTGTAACGAAAAAAATAAACGAGCTTCGTTAAAACTTGCAAGTTGGTTTTGTAAAAGCAAGATTATCGAGAAAGTGCAAGGCATTATTATGTTCATAACGTTCAATGCTTTATCAGCAAACTTTGTATTATTTCGAAAGACATCTTTTGTAGTTTTATCACGATAATAAACAACAGCGTTAGAGGTAAAATCTTGGATGGATTTTGGGTGATGGCCAATAATCAGCGAGCACATCGTTTAACAGTACGAGTGTATGTTCACGCACAGTAAAGCAGCTTGTTAGTCGACGATTCGATATAACTACGTGTTTAGAAAGTAACCACCACCAGCAGCACCCCTCCAAGATCTCTCATTTCCCTTTATTTCCCTCTCTTTCTAGTCTACAAATTGGTATTTCCACTTAGAGAGGAATTCGTGTCAGAGAACGATTAATTTTACCGGCGGCATTTTGGCCATCGTCCAAACGTACGTACGTTCGTTGGTTGGTTGGTCGTTCGGTTGGTTGGTTGGTTGGTTCGTTCGTTCGTTCGTTCGGCATCGGAGACGGCTGGCCGCGCGCGAGAAAGACCAACCCCCACCATCAGCATTACCATCACCACTACCAGCATCGCGCTACCACCAAAACCATCTCTTCCTTTCCTTCTAACCCCTTAACCACGATTTCAACTTCCACCTCCCTACCGTTCCCGCGGTTATATACACGCTAACTACCGACCATCGATCAGCTGTCCAACAGTCTGCCTGTCTACTTTTTTTCTCTCTCTCTTTCTCTGTGTGTTAATTTATGTGGACGTTAACCGGTCGATGCTTTACCGTTAAACGTTGCTCTATTTAACTAGTAAGAAGATGCTCTCTTTCTTTGGGACACACTCGAGAGCAACCAACCCTCTATTGTTTCCAAAATGTTTTCTTCCTTTTTTTTAGAGCGTCTTCGAACTGTAAATGAAAATTTGGAATTGGCTCGAGATTGTCAATGGAATTAGCACGAGGATCGTTCGCTCGATTGGTGAAAAGGTCATCGAGGATGCAATCCAGCAGGTTGTCCTTCGCTATCGCTAAAACGATTCCATGAATGGAGATCGACGACATGCCTGGGAGAACAATTGGTAAACCCAAACTATTTGCTCCTGTTCCACACCACTCGCTTCCGGTAAACCCCGATCGTAATGACATCAATGAAGTCTATTGCCAACCATTCAGATAGAGTTTACTCCCGTTCGATTGCTACACAACCAACGTTCATGCATGGATTCTCCATTAAGGTGAAACAAACAACGATAAGGACACTCGTAATCATAACGATTATATGTGTATTAATCTACTTATCTTTTACAAATGACTATTTTTTGTCACGTCATAAAATCTATTTAGCATGGAACCTAATGGATTTCACAAGTTCTCCGATTACACTATCATCGTGTCAGATAGGATACGTTTGGTGGTTCGATCGTATGACTCACAGATCCCGTAACTCTCTAGCAAACTGAAAAAGTATAAACGTAACTCGATCTACTTCGATGTTTCACAAGATCTCGTGGTATTCCTCAGGAAAAGACGTTCAATCATACACTCAAAGTTGTATCAAATTTATTGTTCACGATGAAAACAGAGTAAAAATGTTTAACTTATTGTTTTAAATATGATATGCTAGCAATGTTAATACATTACTTACCGGCAGCCAACTGCACTGTAAACGTTTACAAATCATTAGCAATTCGCAGAAATATTATAAATAATAGAGACCGTTAAAAATGAATAATACACATTCGTAGGGCATGATGCACTCCTCCTTATCCTCTCCTCTCCTTTCCTTTGTCTGTCAGTTTTAATGACTCGGTTAGTATTACACATGCAAGGTAGAAAGCAGGAAGAGGCAATCGTTTATGCTAACGACGCTAGCTACTGTAACTTCCTTCGAGGAAGGGAGGGGAAAAGATCTCTTAACTACTTCAATTAAATGTCCACAGATTAAGATCTTAAACGTGCGTTAGAAACTTTATCGCAGATATCAGCGTGAAACTTTTTTTCCTCTAAAAAAAAAAAAAGAAAAAGAAAAAAACTGCATTATCCAAAATCAAAGAGGGTAAAGGGTAAAGAGAGGCCCAGGGAGAGCTGATAAAAAAACGTTTGCCACCATTCTTCTCTCTTGTTTAATATCCCATGATTGATTTTGATTTGTATTAAATTTTTTTTTTTGTTTCCTTCTTTTTCCTTCCTCCCCCTCTTTTTGTTGTCCCCATCGATTTTGATGTCTTTTACTTCGTTTCTGTCTCTCCCAAGCTCCCATCCATTTCTCTTTCAATATCTATAATAAAAACCGGCCTCGTTTACCATATGCCCTCAAGCTGAGCAGTCCACCACCACCAATGCCTCTATAGCGCATTATAGAGGGTGCTTCAAAATAAAAATCTTTTCAACCAATTGGATTTGTTAAAAAACACAAAAACGAAAAAATACTCTCTCTCTCTCGATGAAAAAGATGAAAGTTTATTCAACGATCATTGAAATATTTGACTCTAGATTTCAAGTTTCAAATTGTTGTGAGATACTAACAAGAAGAGTAGTGGGTTTTATAACGGCCTGTATAAAACTACAGACAGACAGACAGACAGACAGCCAACTCGAATGATGACGATTCCGAAAGTCTGACAATGCGGCAGATGCTGTTCTCTTTTCTCTCTCTCTCTCTCTCTCTCTCTCTCTCTTTCTGTTCCTTCCTTTCTCTGTACTCTTTGACCCCCTTTCATCTGGACGGTTCGTTCTTTCGTGTCATCGTCGTTGTAAACAGGAGCTCCTACATACGTTCGTTCCATCTCGACAGCTTTCTCGAAAAGATCTTGTAAGATACTCACGTGATATCTATTCATTTGATTTGTTCATTATTTTTATTAACTAAACGTATAATTTTTGTTTAAGAGAAAGTATATTAATAATAAAGTATTAAGTTATCTTTTTGGGGACAGGAGAAGTAATCCTAATATTTGGAGCAGGTTGTAAAAAAATGAATGAAAAGAGGAATTTTCTTGTTCTTTTTCGCAGACTTTCCGTCATCCACGTCGTCGTCGTCGTCGTTGTCGTCGTTTCGCCGTTCTACGCTCGATAATTCCCATTGTTCTGAAGGGTTCTTGGATTTTTCGAGTGTGCCTACTTCGAGCCAACTTTTCGACCCTTATAGAATACTTCCGCGTCGGAGGGATATAACCGTCGGCGGTATTGTGTGCAACCTGCACTACTACATTGCAATTATCTTATCTTAATATATATAAATTACGTGTGACGTTGTTTGTCCGCAATGGACTCCTAAACTACTGGACCGATTTTAATCAAATTTTACACACTGTGTGCAGTTTCATTCAACTTGAAAGATAGGATAGTTTATAATTGCAATATTATTTGTTTATTAACAAAGAGTCATGATTATAATAACCCTAGTTATTATATATACATAAGACATAGATCTGTCGTTAGTTTGCAAATACATAAACGAGAATGATATAATTACGCAAGTTGAGATTTAGTCCTGTGATCGGGGAAAAGGGTTAACACACATATACATGTATGCATATAGGACCCAGGAAGTTAACAATTGCTATATAAAAAAAAAAAAGAGGAGAGAAGGTATGAACCTGGTGCAGCTGCAGCTGCASCAGCAACGGATCGAGGATGGCGTAGACAATCGTGGAGCACTCGTCTAGAAAGGAAACAGGCTTTCACCATTCCGCTTTCCATGATCGTTCAATTATTCAGTAGGGTGGGAGAGAGAGAGAGAGAGAGAGAGAGAGTACTCTTCTCAACGATTCCCATTCGAATGACGGAATGACGTGGCAACCAGTCACACAGGACAAGTGTAATGGAATATTAACTTGACGTAATTTCTATTCAATTTCGAACTAATACTTTATCAACCACATAGGATTTTTTTAATGGAACACAACATTTAAACAAACACAAAATACACCAGATTTGAATACACTGGACGTATTTCTTTCACAAACGAAGATTAACGATCGAATGATTTTTCTTCGTAAAACGTAAAAATACTGAATGTTGAATTTTTCTTTCTCGTAGGTTGCGATCTTTGTTCGCTTTGAAAAAAATTTAAAAAAATGTGATTTCTCGACGAAAATAGCGAAAGCAAGAGAGAGAGAGAGAGAGAGAAAGAGCAAAAACACGACGTACGCGTACACCAAACAAGATTCCACTTCCTTGCGGTATTTATTTTAGGAAAGCGCGGAAAGCAAGCGCCTGCCTACGCCGGCAGATCTGAGAGATTCACTCGGAGATTTGCCAAGTAACTTGAAAACTCGCGTTGCAACAGCATCATCGCCGTTAATAATCGTCGATGTCTGCCTGCCTGCCTGCCTGCCTGCTTGCCTGCCTTTACTTTCCAATCTACCTCTAACAAATTCATGGAAAATCTTTCATTACTTTTAATTGAAACAATGTTAAACGGTTACAAGTATCGATTCGCAAGAGCATTCAAGTAGCAAGTTGGTCACGTTTTGACACGTTGGCATCAAGGCCACCACCACCACTACTACTACCACCACATTACTGTAAATGGACACAAAAAGAAGGAGAGAGATGGTCTGTTCGTTCAAGCTGCGAGGCCATGTCGTTGTCGTCGTCTTCGTCTTCGTCTTCGTCGTCGTCGTCGTCGTCGTTGCACAATCAACCAACCAACCAACCAACCAACCGACCAACCAACCGACCAACCAACCGACCAACCAACCGACCAACCAACCAATCAAGCAAGCACTACTACTTTAGATGCCTCTCATTCTTTCCTACAAATATTTATTTCCACGAATATGTTATCACACGGATGGATGAAAGGACACGGCGGTAAATTACGCCTCACGTATCTCTTATCTTTTTTTTTTTTTT